TCACAACTTAACGATTTATGTATGGAAAATAAAGACGAGATTAAAGTTTGTTTGAATTATTTATTGCGTCATTTGGTTCATCGAATGAAAAATCAGTCGATAAAAAACCAAATAGATTGTTTAAAAGCAGACACTCGGAGTGAGGTTTGTTTCAAATTTTCGTTGATCGTTGATTCCAAAGGAAGCATAAGTTTGTGAATATTATCACATTTCTTTCACAAAGTTTAAATAATTCAGTAAACACTTTTTGGAACAAAGGATAGAAAGAAAGACGGAGAGGTAATATTGATTGACGAATAGGTTTTATTGATGTTTTTTCGAATAAATCCATTTTTACAGTACATGTAAAATACATAAGGAGATCAAAGAAACACACACACATACCTAAAGCATTACAACAGAGTATGTGAAAAAGCTGATTTAACTATAAATTATTCAGATAGTTCACGAGTCGAAAACTCTTCAACAGACTAAAAGCTCTGTTTTAGCAGCAGTTGCTTAACAGCTACTTCAAACTCAAATGAATTAGGTTTCTTGTAGCTTTCAGGCAATTCATTCTATAGGAATGGTTTTTATTCTTGGGATTATTTCCTAATCGATTTCTTGGGTTTATAGTTATCAACCCCAAGTTGGGTAGCTATGCACGTCCTTTTGTCTGGTTAACGAATGACTAGGAGCTGTCCAAGAAGTTACAGAAAGTCAAGAAGATGTGAATGACGACGCTCGAACTACAGTCGAACTTTGTTATAGCGCAAAACCAAGTGGGGTTTGGGTCCAACTCAGATCCACTTTAGTGTGGGCTCCACCTGTAGTAGCAACATGATCCTGGAACTCCTGGCTGGATAGCCCTGGCAGCTGAAGCCATTAATGGAAAAAGAAGAAGAAGANATTTTATTCAGTTCACGAAAGAAGTCAGTCAAACTCATTATTTGCTGAAGTTTGTAAAAAATAGTTGTACACTTCCAACTTAAACTTTATGGACACATCAACACTTGAGAAATACGATTCTCGGTGATCCTTTCAAATAGCTCAGCATCACCAGGACATAGTTGAGCAAATCATCAAGACATCATCGCAAATAAGTTTTTCAAAACTTATCTATTCCAAGGTCTGATGTCCCCGATGTCCTGTGATTGATAATCACAGTTAGGCCAGTGCTACCCGAATTCACAAGCAGTTTTCTTCTTTATTACCAGTAGCATCCAAAAAATTAACTAGTATTCTAATTCGTTCTTATCTACTTCCCTGAGGGGATGTCCTTCACCTCTTCTCTGGAACATAGTTCTGGACACCCTGATTAATCACCTCAACAATAACGGATTCTACACAATTGCATAATATACAGATGACAGTTATCTTACAGGCCCCTCAAGGATTTTCCTGTAGTGCTTGTGCTTTTTCCTTAAAAAACTATTGGATTAAGTGAAAAAATGTGATAGACGCCTATTTATTTAATGAAGAAAAGAGAAATGAAACTGCAGTAACGTTAGTTACAAATAAAAGTGGTAAAAAACAAAGAAAGTTTCATTTCTCTTTTCTTCATTATGATTTCCTACCACGTAGTAACGGCTATATCCATCAAGCTATTTATTTACCTTAACAAAAACAACATGTAGAGGAAAATAATTAATTCAAAATGGTCTTTGAATCAGGAATTAATCTAGTGTTTAATTACTAGGTTTTCTTTCATAAATCTACTCTAATAATAATTTACAGAACTGATTAAACAAATTGTTGTAAATGTAACTTGAATATATAGTTGCATCAATGTGTAACCTGCCTTAAATGTTAAAACAGTCTGAGTCTAAAATATTTGAGAGTGTGTTGATTTATAGCTATAGCTCTCTTCATAATGTTTGATGTCAGTAACAGTGAAGCGACAAGTGAATGGTTTATCCACGACATCCATTTTACCTTCGCTAGAAACAAGTCTCTATAGTCATTGAACAAGAGTGGCATAACTTCATCAGATATTAGACATTTTAGTACGATTGCCGCGCCATTCATACATTTTTTATACGCACTTACAAATTATTCCCGTTTGGAATGTGCGTTCTATTCTCGTTCACAAATAATCGATTTCAAGGTAGGGACGCTTCTGATTGCCTGTGGTTAGATTTTAATTTCAATTTCGCCCACCTGTGCAGCCTAGCGTGGCTATTTGCAAGTAGACCTCGACACAAACAAAAGGTGAACTTTGTTGCTGCCAGCCATTACATCATAGATGACGGCATGGTTCTATTTCGGTTAACTCACCTCATTTTTTACCTATAGTAAGTGGGCATACTTGAAAACTGGCTTTAAATCAAATTATTACCGTCCGAAAATTGAACAAATTGAGCGTCGACCACTTGTATCGCCATACTCTCCCCGGTAGAATCTTCATCGATCAGGAACAAGCAAAAACGGCTTTCGTCGACTTCATCGAATCTCTATCACATCATTTTTAAGCTGACGTAATTAATTGACTTGTATTACGTTGGCAAAAGTGCACTGACTAAAATGGCGGTTCTTTTGATTCAATTGAAAAAGTATTCACTGAGATATTACAGTTTTAATTAGACTCATTAAAATGGACAAAACTTTCAAAACAATCTAGATTGAATGAAGTGATGATGAAAGCGTTTCTCATTAGCCACAGTCGTGGTTCACATAATTATTGTAAAATGAATGTAGACCTTACTTTGAAGGTGTTTTGCGCTATATTTGGAAATAAAAACATTACAACGCGACTTTGGAAACAAACTGATTTCAAGATTTCCCCAGGAATTATAATAGTACTTGACTTTGGCAATCCATAAATGGAATTACGAGTATAAACAATTTGAATACGTATTTCATTTCACGAACAGAAATATTGTTCAGAGGCCTACCAAATGTATATAATAAATCGTCATTAGGACTACAATGTGGTTGTGCATTTTTTATATTTTTGATTACCAAGTTGTAAAGTTGTAAAAACAACAACAATGGTTTTTTTTATATCTAATTGGATATTTACAGTTTTCAAATTTGAAATTGTTTTGAATTATTAACCATTTTAGTATGACATTCTTCTTGTGTTTTCTACTACCAATACTGTTTATATTTTTTATAAATAAACTTCCTAATCTGGTTCCGTACCAAAAACGCCTGGCCGTCTGGGAAAATATTGATCCGCTCAATTCGTTGGGGCATCAAATTAATGTTTGTGCGCATTGCAAATATGCATAAGGCATGCATAAGGTCTGTTAAAAAATAAGGTGAATGTTTAAATTTCGGGGAATACATACACTCGATTAGCGATCATTTAATTTTTTTTTGAGAAGATTAAAAATTCACACACCTCGTACACTTCATCCTGTAAGACTCACCGAGTGGGTAACTGAAACGATGGGTCATTGGGATTCAAGGAGATGTATAAAGCAATCGTTGAAACTTTGTGTAACAATTGANAAACATTCGGTCAAGAACGGTTACAAGGTAAATATTATCGACTCTATTATTTCCAAGCTACTGTGAGTGTGAGAATAAAAAAACTTGAAAACCTCACCAACATAACTAATATTCTAAAGTAGTTACTATTTTTTTGTTGAAATATAACAAAATATACACCTACGAACACTTGGTAGGTTGCATATGACTTAAAAAGCAACTCAACTTGGACCTGAGCCAAATACATGAAATACCTGGCATAATACTCCCGCAACTGACGAATATGCTGTGATAATATGGTTCCGTTAGAACTTTCAATTGTTGTATCACCTCTTCGTTAATTCTGATTTGCCTTTAATGTGATCACTCAGCTTGGAAATTATCTGCTGAACCGTTCTCAGTGTGTCATACTCAATAGCAAAACATCGAATACCTTTAAAATAAATAATGGGGTCCCTCAAGGATCGATTTTAGGTCCACTTCTCTTTGTTTTATATACTCCTAAGTTTTCACACTGCCTTCCTCACACTTCCATGCATTGTTACGCCGACGATACACAGTTGTATTTACAATTTGATGAAAATTCACTCGATATTGCTCTCAAACAAATGAGTCATGATCTGCAGTCTCTGATAACTGAATCAAGTAGCGAATTGATTAACGTTTCAATCGATGGGGTTCAATCACCAAAAAGTGACATCACGAAAAATTCAGGCCTTTATCTCGATAATTCTCTGCGTTTCACTACACATGTTTCTAAGATTCTTAGGAAGGGTTATATGAATCTAAAATCAGTATACTCGAGTAAAAATCTTTTGAACAAAAAAAATTAAATATTACTCTGCGACGCACTGGTACTACCTCATACCAACTATGCTGATACTGTTTATGGTCCAGGACTCTTGAAATCTGACAGGCAGAGTTCAAAAACTGCAGAATTCGTGCATAAGGCTCGTCACAGGCGTAAGGAGACGTGAGCATGTGTCAATACTTGGAACAACTCGGGTGGCTGAACATGAATGCTAGGCGCACACTGTATTCTGCTAGTTTATTCCATAAGGTCATATCCAAAGGGAAACCTGCCTACTTATTCACGAAACTGTCCTTTAGAACCGATATAAATAATCTAAATTTGATATTTAAACATCTTTTGACTGCATTTAAACATAAAACTTCTCTTTTTAGAGGATCTTTTTCTTATAACATTGCACGCTTATATAATCGGCTACCCAATGAATTGAAATCCCTACCACTTAGTTTCAAGAAAAATCTGAAGAGATGTATGCTACAATCCGGTTCTCTTCTTTTATAACATTGATCAGTTGACACCTATACATAATATGTTTTTACCATAAATATGTAGAAATCATCAAATTTATCATTATGTTTGTGACATGATTTTTCACATATTAAACATTAAATTCTCATTTACTCGTTTTTTGTCTCTCTTTTCTGCTTTTCTTTCTTTTTCTTCTGCTTCTCTCCCTTCTTTTCTTTTTTCTATTTTTCATTTCGATTGCTAATAATGTGTATTAATATAAGTTATCTATTACTGGTTGGATGAAAGAGCAATTTCTGCCTTGATTTATCACGCGCAGACGTAGAATTCTGCCATTTGTTTCTGCCTTTCAATGAAAACATGATCAATGAACAATGATCACTTACCCCACACCGTGGGGTAAGTGANGATATTATTATTATTATTAAATATTGTTCAGAAATACTGATAGAAAAAAAACCAACGTATCTCCAAATTTGTTTTGAATTCGAATTATATGCTTTTTGTATAAACAATCACTTCATTATTAAGGTCATTCATCTAATCATGCAACTGGTTCATATATCCTTCAGATTATTCAGTATTCAATCAAATGACTCCCACACCCTGAAATCAGTTCTCAATACTAAGGAATAGGTTATAAAAACAGACTAATACAGCTAATGGTATAAAAGCAATAAGTTAATCAGGTCAACGCTTCACTCAATTACTGAAGCAGCTTGCATTTCGAATTTTTATATTAAGAAATGAAATGAACCTCAGTACAAGCAACAAACTTTCCAACAGCCTGTATCTATATAATCTTCGACTATTACGTCCATTCTCCTAACTGTACTTTGTTGAATGGTTGTTAGTAGGTTTTTTTTTTTGATACGTTGTGTAACGTAGATAGTTACGAAACAAACGATTAAGATGGTAATGACTATACTTTTAAGATTTATTGCTTAACTTTTACATCAATTCAAATTGCCGACCTCGCATTTTATTCAGTTCACGAAAGAAGTCAGTCAAACTCATTATTTGCTGAAGTTTGTAAAAAATAGTTGTACACTTCCAACTTAAACTTTATGGACACATCAACACTTGAGAAATACGATTCTCGGTGATCCTTTCAAATAGCTCAGCATCACCAGGACATAGTTGAGCAAATCATCAAGACATCATCGCAAATAAGTTTTTCAAAACTTATCTATTCCAAGGTCTGATGTCCCCGATGTCCTGTGATTGATAATCACAGTTAGGCCAGTGCTACCCGAATTCACAAGCAGTTTTCTTCTTTATTACCAGTAGCATCCAAAAAATTAACTAGTATTCTAATTCGTTCTTATCTACTTCCCTGAGGGGATGTCCTTCACCTCTTCTCTGGAACATAGTTCTGGACACCCTGATTAATCACCTCAACAATAACGGATTCTACACAATTGCATAATATGCAGATGACAGTTATCTTACAGGCCGGCAAATTCGTGAACACACTGTGCGATAGAGCACAGGATGGGCTCACATTAATAGAAACATTACGTAAGGAACACTCACTGTCGATCAATCCCAGGAAGACTGAGATGGTCCTTTTCACCAGGAAAAGAAGCTTATCGGGCTTAAAATCTTTCTAAATCTTCAAAAGCAAACTAAACTTCTCCGAAGAGGTGAAATACTTTAGTACTATCCTCGACAGGAAGCTAACATGAAACTCTCACCTACAGAGTAGAGCAAAAAGAGCATATATGGCTTATGAGCAATGTCGAAGGACTGGCTTTCACCCCGTGTGGTCACCTAGATCTACACTGCAATAATAACGTACGGAATGTAATAATTAACGTACGGAATCAATTACAGCGAGTGGTTTGTTTAAACATCACAGGAGCCATAAGAACAACACCAACCGCGGCAATGACCTCGGGTCTGACCTCTCTGGACCTGGTGGTTGCGTTAATGGACATGGTACGATTGCGCACGGCTGGTGTAAACCTCGAAGTAGGAATGGGTCAATTGAGGCTGGGCCTATGGCGGAAAGCGCTTACTGCGCAACTTCTGCTGCAGGCAACCAGTGATGCAATTGAACCCGTGTTTGTGTTTAATAAACCCTACAAAATACAAATACAACAGAACAAAGAGTCAGATGCTGCAAATGCAATACGCATATATACAGACGGCTCAAAAACCAAAAAAGNCGGAGTAATAGTGTATCACTGATGATCTTCAAACATGACTCAACCTCTGACGGAAGTACCAAACTCTTACGAAGGTTCGAAATAGATTAACACTTCAATCTAGCAGACCACTATTACGATCTTCATGCAGTCATTGTTTATTGTGGTTCTGGCGTTGAATTTGGTCATTATTACGCCTTGGTCAAAGACGAAACGGACTGGTTTAAGTTTGACGATAGTCGTGTCACGAAGTGTTCTGGCGATGTTTTTAATTTATTGGAGCCTCTGGAGACACCCTACATTGCATTCTATGAAAGATAGGAGATTGGCAGATCGAGATCTTCAGATGATGTGGTGCTGCAGGTTTTTCCGGGTTTTCCTGCAGCTCAAAAGCAAATGCGCCACTGGAATCAATGAAGTCGCCCCGGAGCGCCAATTAATTGTTGTTGTTTCATTAATTTTCATCAATTATGTATTTGAATAAATAACATAACAAGTGAGAATCGATTGGTTTCTTGTGCTGTGATAGATGTCAAAAAAGTAAAGTTGGTCAGTTATTGACCAACTCCACTTTTTGGACATCCGCTTATAGCACAATCAATTGATTAATCAACCAATCAATTCTCACTTTTTAAAAACGTGGTGGGAACGCAACCGCAATGCAAATTTCCATAGTTAGATCTCATGTTCACATTTTTTATCGACTTTTGGGTTCCACCGGTACTAAAAAAGTTTTGAAAGTAGTCTATGATAAAAAAATTTGGGAACCTCTGGTCTAGAAGTTGATTCTGATTTAGACTTACCTCAGTAACGGACTTCTTCGTATAATCGTTCAAAGCCTCTATCCAAACACACAGCAACTCGTTGACAATGACGAAATCGTTGTACAACCACTGAAACACATCGTTAACCCACAAAACACAAACGTTGTCGGGTCCGGTGCACTGTGGGGCCGGTATGTATCTGGGTTTCTTGACCTCAGGAGCGGGGCTCTGCCTGGTCAGCCGTTTCCTCACGGGAGGCGTGGGAGGAACGTACACCCCGCCAGAAGATTTTGCCACCGGGGCTATTTTTTTCACCCCTTTCGCTTCTCCGACATCAACACTGTCCGTCGTTTTGGCCGGTGATTCGATCAGCTTGGCTTTGGAGTCGTTCGTTTTGGTCCGGGCTTGGAGTTTCTCGTAGATGATCTTGCCGAGCCACAGCACGAATAGGGCCGCCAAAATCCAACCAAATATGAACATAGCTAGTGTATCCATCGTGGTGTCACCTGAGCCGTCGAACGTGCAGATTAAATCTTCAACCACTTCCGCTAAATCCATTTCAAGGCGGCCATATTTCGTTCACTTCGTTCGTGGTGTCTTCGATTTTCACACCCCTCAGGACGCCATGCAGTTGGTTCTCTGTAAAAGTTTAAAGTTACTATCTATACATTGGTGGAGCAAGGTGCTTATTTCGGAGAGTTCACTAAAAATAAATTCTCCCAGATCTCCACATAATTATAAATATCTCTGCTCCAGATTGTGACAGTGGCGTAGTTCGGTTCAAAGACGAGAAATAAATAGCTTCGTTCCGGGTGCGGATTCCCTACCTTATTTTAGATCAGCATCTTGGAGTTGATATGCATAAGCAACCTTTGTTTTAAAGCACCTTAAAAAACATACAGAGTGGCACAACGAAAACTTGACTTGCCGGTTTTGTGTAATGATATCGTAGATGTGGGAAAAATCTCTGATAAATCGATTGTAGATGGGAAGGAAACATTTTCACTGCTTAACTGCAGCACCATCACCTCAGCCCTGGAGCAGTGAGGTGAACCGCCCTGAAAATGTCACAAATTTCGTCCTTAGAAAGTGAGAATTCGACATTTCAGTGCCATAGGCGTAATGCATTCAAATTATTTACTCTCAACGAATTGAATAAATGAATTTATACGACGAAAATACAATATTTATTCTTGAAAAATATCATTCATAACAAAC